GGATATGAGTCAGATGGGGCAAAAAAATCGGATTTGGGTCGGATTTGCCTGCAGTGTGAACGTAGCCTTTGACCCATCCGCCATTTGATGCTGAAGTGGGAGTGTCTCAAACAAAGGTTCTTAAATAGAGGCCAATTTCAAAGCATTTAAATAATCTAGCTTATAAAGTAAAATTAATTTTTGATACAAAGCCTACRGCTTTTTCAAAACAACTGGAAGTAAGTTACTTGATTGTGGTATAGAATTGAACTATGAGCCTCGAAGATACATTATACATCCCCTTTAAACCCAAACAAGATGCTTCACACACACACACACACACACACACACACACACACACACACACACACACACACACACACACACACGTTTGTTTCTTGACACCGTGGAGACCTTCCATTGACTTCCATTCATGTTTTTTAGACTTTATATTCTAACCCTGACCATATACTCTAAAATTAACCTCACAGCCTGGTACCTACCTGAYCCTAAAACTAAYCTAAACCTTGGTCCTAAACCAAACCCCACACCTGTAACATGCATTTGGACCCGTGGGGACCAATGCCAGGTCCCCACGATTCACTTCAGCCCCCACGAAGCTGCTTTTTTTTTGGTTAAAAAAAAACCCACGTTGTAGGAAAACCCCGTCCACACACACAAGTAGATGTTGCATAATATGTCACCTTTAAATGCATTGCTAAGTGCTGTGAAATGCAGCTAAAAATAGGTTAAACAGGAACAGAGACTAAGTATAAGCAAGTGCTAAAATGATCAAAACAGTAGCTAAAGGGCAAATAGTTAAATGTAAATTAACCCAAAAAAAGAGGTAAAAGTACAAAAAAACTGTAGCTAAACGTAGCAAAACTGTGTCTAAAATGGCAAAAATTGTGATTTAAACCAGCAGAGTGGCTAAAAGGGCCAGAACTTTAGCTAAAAAGATTTTAAGAAGACAAGGATATAGAGCAAGTTTGCAAAAACAATGGGCCTCATGCAAGAACATGTTCGTATTCTTATCCTAAATTTCTCTTACTTTTGTTCGTATGAAGGGTTCGTACGAACATGTCACGTCAGATTCAACAAACTCTTCTATCTTCAGGAAAAGTGTGTAAATGAGCTG